TTCTGCTGTTGATTCCTTCTAGAGAATCAACAGCAGAATAACTGAGGCAGAAGAACGGATAAGTGACCTGGAAGATAAAATAGTGGAAACAACTACTGCAGAGAGGAATAAAGAAAAACAAAATGAAAAGAATTGAGGACAGTCTTAAGAGACCTCTAGAACAACATTAAATGCACCAACATTCAAATTATAGGGATCCCAGAAAAAGAAGGCAAAAAGAAAGGGACTGAGAAAATATTTGAGAGAGATTATAGTTGAAAACGTCCCTAATATGGGAAAGGAAATAGTCAGTCAAGTCCAGAAAGTGCAGAGAGTCCCATACAGGATAAATCCAAGGAGACACACACCAAGACATATTAATCAAACTATCAAAAATTAAAAACAAAGAAAATATTAAAAGCAGCAAGGGAAAAACAACAAATAACATACAAGGCATTCCCCATAAGATTAACAGCTGATCTTTCAGCAGAAACTGCAAGCCAGAAGGGAGTGGCAGAACATATTTAAAGTGATGAAAGGGAAAAACCTACAACCAAGATTACCCAGCAAAGATGTCATTCATATTCAACAGAGCAGTTAAAACCTTTACAGACAAGCAAAAGCTAAGAGAATTCAGCACCACCAAACCAGCTTTACAACAAATGCTAAAGGAACTTCTCTAGTCAGGAAACACAAGAGAAGGAAAAGACCTACAATAACAAACCCAAAACAATTAGGAAAATGGTAATAGGAATATACATATCGATAATTACCTTAAATGTAAATGGATTAAATGCTCCAACCAGAAGACATAGACTGGCTGAATGGATCCAAAAACAAGACCTGTATGTATGCTGTCCACAAGAGACCTAGGGACACATACAGACTGAAAGTGAGGGGATGGAAAAAGGTATTCCATGCAACTGGAAATCAAAAGAAAGCTGGAGTAGCAATTCTCCTATCAGACAAAATAGACTTTAAAATAAAGACTATTACAAGAGACAAAGAAGGACACTACATAATGATCAAGGGAGCAATCCAAGAAGAAGACATAACAATTGTAAATATTTATGCGCCCAACATAGGAGCACCTCAATACATAAGGCAAATGCTAACATCCATAAAAGGGGAAATCAACAGTAACACAAACATAGTAGGGGACCTTAACACCCCACTTTCACCAATGGACAGATCATCCAAAATGAAAATAAATAAGGAACCAAGCTTTAAATGATAACATTAAACAATATGCACTTAATTGATATTTATAGGACATTCCATCCAAAAAGAACAGAATACAGTTTCTTCTCAAGTGCGCATGGAATATTCTCCAGGAGAGATCATATCTTGGGTCACAAATCAAGCCTTGGTAAATTTAAGATAATTGAAATTGAAATTGTATCAAGTATCTTTTCTGACCGCAGTGCTATAAGACTAGATATCAATTACAGGAAAAAATCTGTAAAAAATACAAACACATGGAGGCTAAACAATACACTACTTAATAACCAAGAGATCACTGAAGAAATCAAAGAGGAAATCAAAAAATACCTAGGAACAAATGACAATGAAAACATGACGACCTAAAACTGATGGGATGCAGCAAAAGCAGTTCTAAGAGGGACGTTTATAGCAATACAATCCTACCTCAAGAAACAAGAAACATCTCAAACAACCTAACCTTACACCTAAAGCAGTTAGAGAAAGAAGTACAAAAAAAATCCCAAAGTTAGCAGAAGGAAAGAAATCATAAACATCAGATCAGAAATAAATGAAATAGAAACAAAGAAAACAATAGCAAAGATCAATAAAATTAAAAGCTGGTTCTTTGAGAAGATAAACAAAATTGGTAAACCATTAGCCAGGCTTATCAAGAAAAAAAGGGAGAAGACTCAAATCAATAGAATTAGAAATGAAAAAGGAGAAGTAACAACTGACACTGCAGAAATACAGAGGATCATGAGAGATTACTACAAGCAACTATATGCCAATAAAATGGACAACCCGGAAGAAATGGACAAATTCTTAGAAAAGCACAACCTTCCAAGACTGAACCAGGAAAAAATAGAAAATATAAACAGACCAATCACAAGCACTGAAATTGAGACTGTGATTAAAAATCTTCCAAAAAACAAAAGCCCAGGACCAAATGGCTTCACAGGCGAATTCTATGAAATATTTAGAGAAGAGCTAACACCTATCTTTCTCAAACTCTTCCAAAATATAGCAGAGGGAGGAACACTCCCAATCTCATTCTTCGAGGCCACCATCACCCTGTTAACCAAAACCAGTCAAAGATGTCACAAAGAAAGAAAACTACAGGCCAATATCACTGATGAACATAGATGCAAAAATCCTCAACAAAATACTAGCAAACAGAATCCAACAGTACATTAAAAGGATCATACACCATGATCAAGTGGGATTTATCCCAGGAATGCAAGGATTCTTCAATATACGCAAATTAATCAATGTGATACACCATATTAACAAATTGAAGGAGAAAAACCATATGATCATCTCAATAGATGCAGAAAAAGTTTTTGACAAAATTTAACACCTATTTATGATAAAATCCTCCAGAAAGTAGGCATAGAGGGAACTTACTTCAACATAATAAAGGCCATATATGACAAACCCACAGTCAACATCATTCTCAATGGTGAAAAACTGAAACCATTTTCTCCAAGATCAGGAACAAGACAAGGTTGTCCACTGTCATCACTATTTTTCAACATAGTTTTGGAAGTCCTAGCCACGGCAATCAGAGAAGAGAAATAAATAAAAGGAATCCAAATCGGAAAAGAAGAAGTAAAGCTGTCACTGTTTGCAGAAGACATGATACTATATATAGAGAATCCTAAAGATGCTACCAAAAAACTACTAGAGCTAATCAATGAATTTGGTAAAGTAGCAGGATACAAAATTAATGCACAGAAATCCCTTGCATTCCTATACACTATGATGAAAAATCTGAAAGAGAAATTAAGAAAACACTCCCGTTGACCACTGCAACAAAAAGAATAAAATTCCTAGGAATAAACCTACCTAAGGAGACAAGAGACCTGTATGCAGAAAACTATAAGACACTGATGAAAGAAATCAAAGATGATACAAACAGATGGAGAGATATACCATGTTCTTGGATTGGAGAATCAATATTGTGAAAATGACTATACTACCCAAAGCAATCTACAGATTCAATGCAATCCCTATCAAACTACCAATGGCATTTTTCACAGAACTGGAACAAAAAAATTCACAATTTGTATGGAAACACAAAAGACCCCAAATAGCCAAAGCAATCTTGAGAAAGAAAAATGGAGCTGGAGGAATCAGGCTCCCAGACTTCAGACTATACTACAAAGCTACAGTAATCAAGGCAGTATGGTACTGGCACAAAAACAGAAATATAGATCAATGGAACAAGATAGAAAGCCCAGAGATAACCCACGTACATATGGTCACCTTATTTTTGATAAAGGGGGCAAGAATATACAGTGGAGAAAAGACAGCCTCTTCAATCAGTGGTGCAGGGATAACTGGACAGCTACATTTTAAAGAATGAAATTAGACCACTCCCTAACAACATACACAGAAATAAACTCAAAATGGATTAAAGACCTAAATTTAAGGCCAGACACTATAAAACTCTTAGAGGAAAGCATAGGCAGAACACTCTATGACAAAAATCACAGGAAGATCCTTTTTGAAATACCTCCTAGAGAAATGGAAATAAAAACAAAAGTAAACAAATGGGACCCAATGAAACTTAAAAGCTTTTGCATAGCAAAGGAAAACATAAACAAGTTGAAAAGGCAACCCTCAGAATGGGAGAAAATATTTGCAAATGAAGCAAATGACTAAGGATTAATTTCCAAAATTTACAAGCAGCTCATGCAGCTCAATATCAAAAAAACAAACAACCCAATCCAAAAATGGGCAGAAGACATAAACAGACATTTCTCCAAAGAAGATATACAGATTGCCAACAAACATATGAAAGGATGCTCAACATCACTAATCATTAGAGAAATGCAAATCAAAATTACAATAAGGAATCAACTTATACCAGTCAGAATGGCCATCATGAAAAAATCTACAAACAAAATAAGGTGGAGAGGGTGTGGAGATAAGGGAACCCTCTTGCACTGTTGGTGCAAATGTAAATTGATACAGCCACTATGGAGAACAGAATGAGGCTTCCTTAAAAAAGTAAAAATAGAAGTACCATATGACCCAGCAATCCCACTACTGGGCATATACCCTGAGAAAACCATAATTCAAAAAGAGTCATGTACCACAATGTTCATTGCAGCTCTGTTTACAATAGCCAGAACATGGAAGCAACCTAAGTGTCCATTGACAGGTGAATGGATAAAGAAGATGTTGCACATATATGTAATGGAATATTACTCAGCCATAAAAAGAAATGAAACTGAGTTATTTATAGTGAGGTGGATGGACCTACAGTCATTCATACAGAGTGAAGTAAGTCAGAGAAAAACAAATACCGTATGCTAACACATATATATGGAATCTAAAAAAAAAAATAGAATCTACATTCTTTTAAATGTAGCTGTCCAGTTTTTTTTCAAATCTAAAAAAAAAAACCGTGGTTCTGAAGTACCTAGGGTCAGGACAGGAATAATGACGCAGTCGTAGAGAACGGACTTGAGGACATGGGGAGGGGGAAGGGTAAGCTGGGACGTAGTGAGAGAGTGGTATGGACATATATACACTACCAAATGTAAAATAGTCAGCTAGTGGGAAGTAGCCGCATAGCACAGGGAGATCAGCTCGGTGCTTTGTGACCACCTAGAAGGGTGGGATAGGGATTGTGGAAGGGAGACACAAGAGGGAGGAGATACGGGGATATTTGTATATGTATAGCTGAACCACTTTGTTATAAAGCAGAAACTAACACACTATCGTAAAGCAATTATACTCCATTAAAGATGTTTTAAAAAAAAGAAATCAGTAAAATATGTAATAAATTATATAATGTTAAGTGCTAAGGGAAAAAAAATAAAGCAGAGAAAGGGTATAGGAAATCTGAGAAAGGAATGGAATTTTAAATTGAGTGGCCAAGAAAGGCCTCAGTGAGAAGTGACATTTGGATTAATTCCTGAGAAGTGGAGGAGCTAGTTCTGTGGGCTTAAGGCCAGGGTGGGTGCTGGGGGTGGGGGAGCATGCCAGGCAGGGGAGGTCCCAAATTGCATTGGTCATGAGGTGAAACAGTGCTTGGCATAGCTGACGAATATCTAGGAGGCCAGCGTGTCTGGAGGAGACCAAGGAGGAGAGCAGTGGGAGATGAGCCCAAAGAGATGGCAGTAGGCTAGGTCCTAAAGGACCTCATAGGTAAGAAAGGAAGCCATTGAAGTGTTTTTCACAGAGAACTGACATTATCTGACTTTTTAGCAGGATCATGCTGGCCACTGAGTTTTGAGAGTAAAGTGAAGAGGGCAAGAGTGGAAACATGGGGTTCATTTAGGAGGCTACAGTTATAATCCAGACAAAAGCTTGTGGTGGCTTGAGCCAGACAAGTGGCAGTGGTGATAGTGAGAAGTGGCTGGATCCTGGATATATTCTGAAAATAGTGTTCACAAGATTTTCTGACACACTAGGATGTGGGGTTATGCACTATCTGTGACTGTCAAATTTCCATCATATGCTCCTAATTGGTGAAAAAGATACAAATTCTCACTTGTTCTATCATTTTTAGAGTATGATGTTCCCTGACATAACTTCAACTTTCCTTTTGTTCCTGAGTTTGAAAACACATCCCACAATTATTTCTATGTCCTATCTCAACCTTGAGGAAAGATAAAGAGAAAATGTGGCTTTGAAAATTGATAGTGCCAATGCTATCTTATGAGTTTCTCAACTGTAAGCTCCAGCCTTATTTCATTTCCCTTGTTGGTGTTCTCAAGGCCTGTCTCAGAACCTTGCACCCGTTAGGCTCTCAGAAAATGTTCGTTAAATGGTATAGTCTCCACATTTCCCACCCAATAATGAACAAAAACAACAGTCAGCCCCTGTCAACTGCACAATCATAAATTAAAGTTTGTATTTTAGTATTTAGTATATTATGCCAGGGTACTCATTGGGTAAATGTAGTTGAGCTTCCAGCACCTTCATTACTACCACCTGCAATCTGAAGTTGTGTTAGCTTTTTTGCACCTGGAAAGGTAACAAAAAGGCGGAGGAGACTGGTTTTGTAATTCGCATCTGGGACAGAGTGTCACGCCACCTGTCTCTTGTAAAATCTACTGAGGAGTTAACGCCCCCTTGAACAGCGCACAAATGTGCACAAATGGGGATGATCAGTCAAAATGCGTCTATACGAAAGGCTGGAGACCCGAGCCTCTCCCAGGGCCCCGCCCACAAGCTCCCGAGGCACGGGCCTGCGCTGTGCACTCCGGGAGTTGTAGTTCCTCCTCTCTTCATGCGAGCCAGGACGCAGTATCTCTGGCGCCTCCAACGGCGCGCAGGCTCCGTGAAGCGCGGCGCACGCGGACGGCACGCGTTTCCTAGCAACGGGGGAGCGGCAACGTCACGCCGGCGGGCGCTAAGAGCAGCTGCCCAGTATTGGGCGGCTTTGAGTACCTTTCAGCACCTGCGGGTTGGAGGGAACGCTGCTTGCAGCTTTCTGTCGGCACGTCTCCGTCCGTCCTTACCCGCGTTATCCTAAACCCGGTCGCCGAGAGCAACCTTCCTCCGCGACCCCGCGTCTGAGGCACTGCCGGAGGCTAGAGGCGGCCCGCCGGGTTCCTGTGTGGCCCTCGCCCCCAGCGCCCGCGGAGCCCGCCGCCCGCGGCCTCAGCGGGACGATGCTGGAGTCCATTCGCGTGACGGGTGAGTGCCAGGAAGGGTGGCCCCTGGGCTGGCGGGAGCGGCCAGAGTCGTCCCGGCCGCTTGCGGCGAGTACCTGGAGGCCGTGGTGACGGTAGCATGTGGGCTTCGGTGCTCAACGCAGCGCCCTGAACAGTGCGGAACCCGCGGAAGGTGCTCAGAGAAAAGGTGTGCAGGGGAGAGAGAAAACGGTCCCTTTTCCTTTTGTAACTTATTATCAGTAAGCGCGTGCTGTGAACTGTAGTGAGGTAAAGTGTAATAGATCGGCCCTACAAATGTACAATCTAAATATTGTTAAATTCTGTTTCAAGGCTTGTTAGATATGTAATTAGGCATTGTAGTGCACTAGGATCTAGCTTTCTAGAATGTTCAGAAGTCAGAGCTAAGCAAAAGAGCACATCTCTATATATCAGTATTTATACTCTTTGTCTCTATGTATGCTTTTATTCTTAAATCAGAACGTTTTGAGTTGATATTAAGAGGTCACTTTATAGTAAGTATTATACCAAGCGCAAAAAATGTTTGTTTAGACCCCAGGTCAGAAAGTTGTTTGCCTTTTGTTATTTTTAGAAAATAACTGTATATTAATCATTTAAAAATTATCTTACACAATATTAGAATAATTTCCTAGGCCATTTTCCCATCATTTGATTCTGCCTAACATTCCTGCAAGACAGCGTTCTTGATAACCTAGTATCATGACTAAAAACACGGAAGAACAGCAGAGTAAAGGGAAAGGTCTAATCTTGAAACTGGCTTCAAAATAAGACCAGATTTTTTTACTTTAAGGCATCGCTGTACCTAATAGACCATTTTTATGCAAAATTTTAAATTGTATAACGAAATTCACTTTTAATGAAAATATTTATGGTCTTAATTTTATATTTCATGTTCCAGGTTATAAAATGAGGATTTGATTTTGTGCAGTCATGACATTGCTGTGATTTATCTCATTGTTATTTATGTTGTCAGGAAACAGACAATTAAAAGATCTTAAGAGGCAACTTAAATTGGCATTAACTTTTTTTCTTAAAGTGATTTGATGTAGATCCTGTTCTTTCATCTTAAAATACAGTGAAAATTGAAAGTTATTATTTTTTAAAATTTATTTTTGGCTGCGTTGGGTCATTGTTGTTGCACACGGGCTTTCTGAAGTTGCAGCGAGCGGGGACTACTCTTGGTTGCGGTGCTCGGGCTTCTCATTGTGGTGGCTTCTCTTGTTGTGGAGCATGGGCTCTAGGCGCACGGGCTTCAGTAGTTGTGGCACGTGGGGTCAGTAGTTGTGGCTCGCAGGCTCTAGAGCGCAAGCTCAGTAGTTGTGGCGCACGGGCTTAGTTGCTCCGTGACATGTGGGATCTTCCTGGACCAGGGCTCGAACCCGTGTCCCCTGCCTTGGCAGGCGGATTCTTAACTGCGCCACCAGGGAAGTCCCGAAAGCTACTTTAAAGTACCATATCTTCTTTTTGTATTGGAACAGAGTCTCTCAACCATGACACTATTAATGTTGAGTCGGTGGATAACTCTGTTGCGGTGGGCTGTCCTGTGCATTGCAAAATGTTTAGCAGCATCCCAGGCCTCTTCCACTAGAAGCTAGTAACCCCCCTCCCCCCACACACACAGTTGTGACAAACAGAAATGTCTCCAGACATTGCCAAATGTCTCCTGGAGGGCAAAATTACCCTCCCCCCCCCCGCCACCCCATTTGAGAACCACTGCCCTGGAGAAAAAATATACTAGTTAGAAAAATATACTAGTGAAGTTTATTAGATAACTATTTAGAAATAACATCAATTAAGATGATTTCCCCAAAGCATAACAATCATGGTAGAGGAAAAATACAATTATGATAATATTAGTTTTAGAAAGCGGGTATCTGACCAGTTAGCAACAAAGTGGATCTCCTGTTTTTCAATATGCAGAGTTGGAAGTTTGAGGAGAGATACTTTCTAAAATAGTAGACCCACTCCTCCTGCCTCAGCTCTCTTCCCATAATTTAGTGGCAATAGACGTATCAATCCAACTCTGCATGTTGCATTTCCTGAGATAAGATAATCTGGCAGTGTATTTCTGTAGTTCAATAAAAATTCAAATAGTCATTTGAGACAATTCAAGCCTCATTTAAAACAACTGACTGGGGCTTCCCTGGTGGCACAGTGGTTGGGAGTCCGTCTGCCAATGCAGAGGACACGGGGTCGTGCCCCGGTCTGGGAGGATCCCACATGCCGCGGAGCGGCTGGGCGCGTGAGCCATGGCCGCTGAGCCTGCGCGCCCGGAGCCTGTGCTCCGCAATGGGAGAGGCCACAACAGTGAGAGGCCCGCGTACCGCAAAACAAACAAACAACTGACTGGCTGTTTTTCAAAATAGTTTCTCCATTTCTTTTATAAATTTCTTGACAAGTTAAAAGGATAGTTCTAGAACCCCATGCCTAGCATTTTGCTGACATATCAGAAAGCCCAGTTTCAACGGCCAGAAACTTTATGAAGAGAGTTTAGCTGAAAGCATGCCCTCCTTTTCCCTCACTATCACATCATTCATTGATATCTTAGAAGCCCATGTTCTTCTGGTTAGCATCAAGAGCATGCTTGTTTGTGGTAAGGGTACTGATGGAAATGTGTTTATTTCTTTTCAGCTTTAAAATAAGTATAGAGCAAACATTGTTTTATTTCAGGACTGAAGCAGTTACTTGCTTCTGAAATCACTTCCAATATAGTATCTTACTCACTATTGACTTATTAGTCATGATTTAATATAATCTAAATATAACATCCTGGTGAACTGATTGGAGAAGTAAAATAAAAAAGAAAGATTTGTATGTTATATATGCTGTTTGAAATGGGATCAAATCAGAAGAGATTTCTTTACCTTCTCATAGCTTTTTAAAGAAGATGGTTTATTATACTAAAGCCACTAAAATGTTGATTGTAGAATGTAGAATTTATTACTTAATGTTAAATTTACCTTGGAAATCCAAATTTCATGATTCTGAATATCTTCCCATTTACATTATTCCATGGAGTATTTCTATAGGAGCTGAATATAGTATTGAATATAATAATACTGATAGTTAACACCTGCTTAGTACAAGCCAGCATTGTTCTCAGCACTTCACATATATTACCTTTTTTGATCCTCCTACTGATACTGTGAGGTACATAGTAGTAGTATCCCATTTTACAGATAGGGAAACTGCAGCACAAAGATGTTAAGTAACTTGCTCAAGGTCACAGCTGCTAATAAACAGCCAAGATTCAAATCAGAGAAGCTCCATTCCAAAGCCCCACTAGGAAAGTCAGAACCCTTGTTTAAATGACTATATGTTGATTTAAGCCACAAAATTCAACATGTGTATCTCATTTAACATCAGTGGTACATTAGCTGATAGTTTACTCCAGGTGCTGTTAAGTTCTTATCACAGGCAAGTCTAATTTTTGCCTGGAAAGATCATATTTTACTTGACTATGAAATTGTTTTCAAAATAGAAGAAGACATCTAGCTCATTAAGTGAGTAACAAAATGCTATCAGAAGCCATATAAGATTATGTTATTTTATGAATTCCTACTGCCTGTATCTTGTATGTGATATAAGAAGTGATTAATCATCTGGAAATGAAGCTCCTTTGTAACAAAAGTGAATGTTTAAAACTACTGGAGACAAAAGTCTTAAGAGCAGTGTTTGGCCATGTGGGATGAATACACTTAGGCACATAGCTCCTGTCTGTCCTACAGCAGTAGGCACCTGCCATTAAAATTTATCTTCAACATCACTAATTGTTTCACATTTTTATGCGTCCTGGTATGATTTTTGCCTCAACCTTCAGGCATTCAAGTCCTGAATCCTTTCTCTCCTCTCAAATATTCTGTTTCCTTGGCTACCTCTCAGGGCAGTGAGTGAGCAGAAACAAACATAGATGTATGCCATAATGGGACTTATAATTTCAGTGATGAGGAAGGCCATCATATAAACAAATGTAAGACTGCAACCGTGACAAGTGAGTCAAAGAACCTTCCAGGGAAGTTTTCCTGAACAAGTGATACTTGAACTGAAGGATGAATAGGGATTAAGCTAACAGAGAGGAGAGGGGAGGGCTCTTCAAACACAGGGAACAGAATATGAAGATGTTTTGTGTCTGGAGAGGGAGTGGTGAGTGTGAGGGACTGACAAAATGAAGGGAAGCTAGAGTGGACTGATTAAGGGAGAACATTGTGCATGATGGGGCCAGAGAGGCAGAGTGACCTGACCATGAGTGACCTCATGTGCCATGATTAGGATTTTCTCTTCACCCTAAGTGGAAAGCCTGGGGAAGTTTTTCTCGCATGTTCACTGTTGTTTTAGGTGGTATTGAATGCATTTTCTTTTACCACAGCCCATCATTTCCCAGCATTATAGAATGCCCTGCATGCTTCTAACTGCAAAAGCACACCACCACAAGCAGTTTCTGACCAAAAAACAATAGTATCACATTATAAGAGTCCTTGCTGCTGATAGAGTAACACTGAAGTGCCCCTAACCGGGGCTGTGACATTTTTAAGAATCCTGAAGTATAGCTGAGTTTCTCAGTTCTTGAGTGATACTAGCAGTGCCTTTTCATCTCTCTGTTTACTTACAGCTGAGAAACTATATTGGATAATGTTGAATTTGGAGGTATTATAATTAAAAGATTACCTGTTATAATGCAGACAAATTGGGCAATAAATGTTGTCAAAGATACTGATTTTTTTAAATATACCAGTTTAAAAATTATAGTGTAACTTACATTCAGTAAAGTGCTTGAGTCTTAAATGGGCAGCCTGATGAATCTGTACATATGTAACCACTGTGCAGAACAAGATAGCTTTCTAGCCCCCGGTACCCTGGTACCTCCTCCCAGGTTATAACCCCTCCCTCAAAGATAAGCACTATTCTGCCTTCTAATACCATACATTAGTTTTGCCTGTTTTGTTTTTTTTTTCTAATTTATTTATTTTTGACTGCGTTGGGTCTTCATTGCTGTGCAAAGGCTTTTCTCTAGTTGTGCTCGGGATTCTCCTTGCGGTGGCTTCTCTTATTGAGGAGCACGGGCTCTAGGCCCGCAGGCTCAGTAGTTGTAGCACACGGGCATAATTGCTCCACAGTATGTGGGATCTTCCCAGAGCAGGGAATGAACCCGTGTCCCCTGCATTGGCAGGCAGATTCTTAACCACTGCACCACAAGGGAAGTCCCAAGTTTTGCCTGTTTTTGGACCACATATAAGTGGAATTATACAGTATGTAGTCTCTTGATCTAGCTTTGTTTGCTCAGTATTGTCTTTGAGATTCATCTATATTGTTGCTTGCAAACTCAGTTTGTTCTTTTTCATTGCCATATAGTATTCTATTGTATGAATATACCACAATTTACTCATCCTTTCTGCTGTTGACAGATGTTAGATCATTTGAGTTTAAGTAATGATGAACAGCTTGGCAAAACTAAAGTGTTTATCTTGTTTGGGAATTGTTTTATTTTGCCTCTTCTTCTGTTTGTAATCAAGCAACCTATCGTTTTGTGGTATAAAATTACCCCAGGTTCTCAGGTTTCATAAGTATAAGTGAACCATATGAAATTGCCATTTTATGGGTCAAAATTGGTTGAATGGTATTTTCCAGCAGGCTTTGTTTCTGATGATCTGATCTTCCTTTCAGCCAGAGACCTTGTAACTACTGTGAAACCTCACCTATTTCAGTTGTGAAACACTAAGAGTTTAGTGAGCAGTGTTCCCCTCTTTCTTCCATTCCTTTAGATGAGGATCAGGAGACGCTGATGGGTTTAGTGATGAAGCCACTATTACAGAGAGGTTATTGAAAGAGTTGGGAATGGAAGCCAGGAATCCTGGTATTCTTTACTCCTGTTCTAGTTACAAATTCAGCTTTCATTGTGTTGGTAATTTCAGTATAGTCATCCACTTGTGAATATACTATCAATTTTAATGTAATATTATTTTCCTTTTTTCCCTCAGTATGGTTAATCATTTTGGGGTGAATGATTTCTTTGATCAACAAGTTATTTTCATTTTCTCCAAGGTTATAGTGAAGCAGATTGCCGGTGGCTAAAATGTTACCTTAAATAGTGACTTTTAATATGAGAGTATGATTTTTATTTATTTTATTACTTTTATGAGAGAAAATGAGTTACACTTGCCCCCAAAGAAGCCTGCTTATGCTTAAAGTTTTGATTTTTCAGGAAAAAAGGAGTTAGGAGAATAGGATGTTCTTCATTGAACTCTTCTTCTTGTCCTTTTATTATGTTCTTAAGCCTGTTTTAAAGGTTGTTTTTCTTAAACAGTAGTAGTATTTAAAATGACAAAAACAGTATTTTAGGTTTTTTAGTACTTAATACAACTAAAATAAGATTAGCATGACTCTGAGAAATTAATTTATATCTATCTTGTAAGAGTTGTTTGAAGGTCCACATGCCCCACATTTATGAACTTCATGGGATATCAGCATTTGGCAGGATTGACATTTACTAAATAGATACACCATTGGTACTCCCAGACTACTTATGAGCAGATGGAGCTTAAAAAGGACTGATGCCAAACCTCTCAGGTAGATAATTAGCAAGTGAACTGAAATGCTGCAACTCCTGGGAGGGGGAAAGGGGTTCTGTCATGCACACACTGTAATTTCCCTCCCACTCCCCCAATTCCTCCTTGAGTGTTTTGGCAGCTGGTTTAGGACTTTTGTTTAAGTATCCTGAAGTGTATAGGTTGTTTGAGTTGGGACAGAATTAAGAATGTAGATGCTTTATGACAAAACAACAGAAAACTCTATGAACGCAGCTCTTTGATCAACAGAGCTACTGAGTCTTAGGAACCAAAGAAAGCACTTTTTACATTGAATATTCTTTTTTTTAAAAAAATCAATATACCTGTAACAAACCACCCAAATTAGGAATTCTTCAGAGTAGTTTTGTTAACTGATTTTAATTTGAGGTAAATCCCCCCTTTTTTTATTATTAAATTCCCCCTTTTTATTATGAAGACCAAATGAGAAAAACCTGATTACCTCCTTTTACCTTCCTGGCTGTGCCTAGTCCTTAACCAACTTTTCTCAGTTTGTGATACCCTTATTCTTATCTCAGTTCTCTTGCTCTTTTCCTTTCAGTGTCTGTTTCAGTCTGACTTTCATTATCACCTCTTGTCTCCTAAACTTGTGGTGTCTTGTTAGGGACACCGACATTGTTCTTGGGCATTTGGGGCCTGCAGCTTGTGTTCCTTAGCCTATGTTTGCCCATCCTACCCAATTTTGACTATCAGTTGGCAACACTTAAGTATGAAACCCCTGAGGATCTGGGACTTACCAGCCATTGATGAAAGTTTTGTTTGTTCTGTTTATTCACATTGTTGAATGGCTTCTTTGTACAGTCAACCTTCAGCATGACCCTGTGCAGTCTAGTTCCTATCTCTCAGCTTGTCCATGTAGTAGACATTTTATTTAGCCCCTGCAAATTTATACTTTCATGTTACCTTTAGACAGCAGAATTCAAATTTCATATGTTGGCCTAGAAAATGTTAACTAGAAGGACTTCTAAGTACCTTACATATTTGGATTGTTTATTATCTACTTTTGACCTCATACTGTTTCTTTACCCTAAACCCTAAGACTTCTGGGCTTTAAAAACTTTTAGTGCAGGGTTTCCCTACCGTGGCATTATTTTAGGATGAATATTTTTGTTGTAGGAGGCTGTCCTATGTATTGAAGGATGTTTAACCTCATCCCTGGCCTCTACCCACAAGACACTAGTAGCATCCCTCCCTAATTGTGACAACCAAATGTCCCCTGGAGGGCACAGTTGCTCTCATTTGAGAACCACTGGTTCAAGGTCTTCCAGGTTATATTTCCACTTCTACAGTCATCTCCTCATAGAAATATAGAGTGGTTCCAGAACTACAAATACCTGTATATCTAAAGTGGTCAGAGAATGGCATGTTTAGGGTTGTGCCATTCATTCATTCACTTATTTATTCAGTGTACATTTATTGAATACCTACCAGATACCATGCTAGATGTTGGAAAGAGAAACATGAATAACACATGGTCCTGGTACCTATCTTAGTATTGAATACATCAGTTATTCAGATTACTGTGTCTTACTAGGGTGCTGTGTTTGTACAGAGGAAGAAAAGATGTAGTGCTGTGCATGTAGCAGACTTAATACTGAATGTCTGTTGATAATTGAATGAATGACCTTATATAATAGAATGAGCATGGACTCTGTAATCAGACACATCTGCATTCGAATCACAGTTTGCTCTTCACTACTTTCTTGTCGTATAACCTTGAGCACATTACTTAACACTCCTGAAGCTTAATTGGTATAACATGCAAGGTTTTTGGTGAAATCCCAAACTCACATAAATGTGTCAACAAATAGTGGCTGCTATTATTATTATTATTTATTACTACTTATTATAGAAAGGATCCCTGAATGTCTAATCTTGAGTGAGTGAGCGACAGATCTATGTGGATAAACAGTTTTTTTAAAAATGGAATTAAATAAATTGTCTCCTTGACAAGGAAGGCAGCTGTCCAAGTCAGCTAGCGTTGAAATTGCCTCCATAGTAGGAGCCAGAGGTTGAGGGCTAGAGGCATAAGGATCCATGAGACTTAGAAAAGAGAGGTGGTTGAGAGAATCATGTATCACATTTGCAGAAAGGATTTAGAAAAGGTTTATAAGCAGACGTGGTCAGATAGGAGTTCAAATACCAGGATTTAAGACAAACTCAAACACTTTTGTCAGTTTAGAATTGAATCTGAAAGCTCTTAAGGGTTTACCTGAAATCCTCTCAAATGTTTCTCTTCCTTCCCTGAACCCTAGGTTATTGTCTGTATCTTTTGTTTTTCACATTTAAGCTTATACTACCTCGTATTAGTACTCAGATCTTCATAGGACTGCCTTACCTTCAGAGCCAGATTAGAAGCTGGTTGAAGGCAAGAGCAATGTATTTATACAGATGTTTTTCAGATCCATGTATCTATTAGCAGTATTCCTGTATTTGTGGAATGAAAGAATGCAAATCAACACAGTTTTAAAACAGTACACAAGCAACAATATTTCAAGTTATTCTTACCTCTTTAAAGCACTTTTGAGATCTAAAGGCAAAACTGACCTCTCCTTAATTTGGCATTTGATATACTGATACCTTACATAGTAATTATTTTTTTAAGTCTTGGCAAGAAAAAACGTGATTTTCTTTAATCTTAACCTATGGCCTGTGCTTTATGACATAGCCTAAAATTAAGAAAAGCAACAAATAAATATTGAGTGACATTACTAAAACGTGCTTGAATGTGCACATATCATTTATTTAATTAAAAAAATTTTTTGAGATATGTAAGACAGTGTTGTCCTTCTTTTACTGATGGCTACCTTTATATATAGTGTCAGATTTCAAGATTGTATTGGCTTTGAAAATGCCTTGGATTTTACTTTGATATTGGTAATACTATTAAACTATATCCTTTCTACGAAATCCACATTCTTGGTAGAGTTGAGTGTTCAGATTATTTATGTATATTATCTCACATCTAGATTAGACTTTGGTCATCTAAATGGTTTGAAGCTGAGGATTTTTATAGATAATTTAGCATATGTTCATTCTTACAGAAGTGACCGTGTCTAGCTTGACCAAAGTTTAGTAATATAGTCTTTTAATATTAAAAATGTCTTTTTAAAAAATTGTTGCAAAATTATAAAGTTTACAGAACCTTCAGAATACTTTTCACATAATAAGCAATTTGCTTCATCTGGTATCTTTTGTTATTTCTTTTGTTTTGATTTTGTTTATTAACACAGAAAAGCTTCACTGGCCTGAGCAAGAACTTGCTAAGAAGTCTATTCTAAATGCAGAAGAGTCCTTGATTATTGGCAGCAAAGGAAGCATTTCACATTTATCTCCTGGAATACTAAAGGACATTTTCACAACTGGAACCAGTAGTTACAATGTCCTACTACAGAGCAAAGAGGAGAAAAAGCATCATTCACAAAAACAGTCTTCCTCCACCTACTCCAAAAGATGTAGAAAACCCAGCAAATCTAGCTCTTCACGTAGTAAAGATCTTCGCAAGATGAAAGCCCCAGTGCCTGTGATGAGCAGTGATACTTGGTACTGCCTAGAAAGGCAGCCTGCTGTTTTTGTCACTAGTTCAGTGTCAAGTCCTGTAAAGTTTACACATGATATCTCTGTTACAGGAAACAGCACAGTACTGCCACCTAAACCCAAAAATGAAAGAAAGGTCAAGCGACGCCATTTCTCCACTCTTCCAAAGCCAAAGCCGCAGCCTCAGCTGTCTAGAAGTTTTGAAAAAGGAGATGACTTTTCTGGAAAGAAATTTTGTATACTGAGTGCTATAAAGCCCACCAACTTGGAGAAAGAAAAAGTGAGATTCTTTAAGTCTGACTATACCTACAATCCTCAGTTTGAATATGCTAATCCTTCTCTGCCAAGTGTGTTAGCCAAGCACAGCAACGCAACTGACCGGTTCCTTAAGCAGGTAAAATGCTACTTCAGTAGCAGTATTTCATTTTATGTAATGAAAACAATTATTTGCCATCGTATAGAAAGCCAAAAAAAGTTGTTTTAAAATATTCCAATTATTTATAGTTAACGCCCATCCAGGACATGTAAATATGTGACAAGAAATCTCCAGGTGAGTGTCACAGTTCATATGTAAACTACTTTGCACTAATCAGAATCTATAAAAGAATCTATTATATAGACGTTGTGTTAGGAAGCAACTATATTAGGAAAAAGCTTCAGATTCTGGTTCCAAGCTTTCATTTGGCAGTTACAAACTTATGGCCCATTCGTCAGCCCACAGACAAGTGTTTGTTTTCTTTTTGATTTTGAATGCGTTAGATGGAGCATGCAGTATCTCTGGTTCTCCCTGTTATATTACATTCTCAGCTTGCTTAGGCCCCTAAAGGCATTTTGGGGACTAGGCTTGATACTTGCCAAAGAACTTTTTAATGCTTTACTGAAATTTTTAATAATCATCAAATATATAAGTACTCATTTAAAGAAGAAAATAATGGAATTTTAAAAGTTATCTTCAAGTGTAGCAAATCACGATGTGGATGATATAAGCAATACTTTCCAAATTGCTCAGTTTAGATACTTAGCACACAGTTTTGTGTGTTAAGGTCTTAATAAACTTCAAAATCCACTTTATTGGGCTTCCCTGGTGGCACAGTGGTTGAGAATCTGCCTGCTAGTGCAGGGGACACGGGTTCGAGCCCTGGTCTGGGAAGATCCCACATGCCGCAGAGCAAGTAGGCCCGTGAGCCACAACTACTGAGCCTGCGCGTCTGGAGCTTGTGCTCCGCAACAAGAGAGGCCGCGATAGTGAGAGGCCCCCGCTTGCCACAACTAGAGAAAGCCCTCGCACAGAAACGAAGACCCAACACAGCAAAAATAAATTAATTAATTAATAAAAACTCCTACCCCCAACATCTTCTAAAAAAAAAATCCACTTTATTTGAGGGGAAGTTGGCTGATGTTTACCTTCTGGGCACAGAGTTGAGATCATAAAAGCAGACTACATTTGGTTAAATTAATTTTGTACAGGTTTTTATAATGCATTAGGTTCAACTTGGCTTTGTCAGTGATTGAAAATCTGTAGGCTAGGTGAAGCTGCGTGATTCCATTTGCCTTTGGCAAATGCCCTATTTTAGCATTTTGCTGCAGTGCAAGTTCTTTGGACTTGCAGCCAGCAAATTTTTTATTGTTTGTTATAAATTACATGGAATCTGACCAGTCTTTTAAAGCCATTATGTAAAGCTTATTCTAAGATTAAAACAATTTTAATCTTGCTATTTATTTTCCTTTGTTAGAAAAAGCCTTTTCTACTGCTGCTATTTTTTTGAAGGTACACCTCCCCTTTTTTTTAATTGGAGTATAGTTGATTGACAGTGTTGTGTTCATTTCAGGTGTACAGCAAAGTGAGTCAGTTATACATATACATATATACACTCCTTTTTAGATTCTTTTCCCATATAGGTCATTACAGAGTATTGAGTAGAGTTCCCTGTGCTATACAGTAGGTCCTTATTAGTTATCTATTTTATATATAGTAGTGTGTATTACATTCCCTTTTTATTGAAATATGAAATTGTGCTAAACACTAATAAAAAGGTCAGCTATTATTTTGGCAGTGATTTTATGATTTTTTTTCTTTTTTTGGTGTGGAAATTGCAATTGATTGAATAGGGCTTTCACTCACTTAAAATTTATGGTAATTATAAAAATCCTATTTGTTTTTTTCCCCCTTAATGCTGAAAGAGACAGCTGAGATTTCTTTACCAGATTTCTTTAATTTGGAGTCCTACTGCAAGCCCTACCAGTTGGGAAAGGGATTTCCCACCATTAGGTCAAAATGAATGCTCTTTCATTTTCTTGGATGGGAGTTAGGAAGCATCAGCAGCTCCAGAGATTGAGAATTGACAGTGCTTGGTTTCTGGCTCTACAATCTTTATTTTAACCCAATTCCAGCTTCTTACGCTTGGGTTGTTTGAGGCTTCTAAACAGCACCAGCAATCATAGCTGGCTGGTACTTCAAATGCTACCATTTGGGAGAATGATTGCAGCAAATGCCAAATGTACTTTTCAAACCACTTTAATCAAATAAGGGAGATTTATCGGAACAAGACCCCCATAAAATATGCTTAAGTTCCTACTTAGCATCTGAATGAATTCTGACATGATACATCCTTCCCCTCCCCAGCTGTGAAGCTAAAGCAGCAGCTTCAGGGCTGGTTTCAGGATTCAGAAATGCACACAGAGGGGCCAGGATGGCTGAGTAGCCCATTTGTCTCTGGCCTCCACCCTTGAGGCCTTGCCAATCCCTAGCTGACAGTCTCTCAAGTTTCACGATCTGGATCTTTCCAAGGCAGGCAATCTATACTGTTGTTGGAGAGTGACCGCGGTCCTCTTTAGTGTACAGATAGGCAGAACAATGCTAAATCCATGCAGAGATAAGTCTACCATAGTGGAACTAAGGTAGTGCTCAGGTTCTGGTCATTCCTAATTGATTGCCCTGTCAATGTCAAGGAGTTCCAGGACTCAGTTTTTTTCTGGTCCGGGCAGTAGTTTCCTCAGGAGGCACTTAGGCCCTTTAGGTGGTTCAGAGCATCTAGCATGGGCTGCAGGACTTGAATATAACTCCAGGTGGAGCCTGCTGAACCCTGCTTAGCCTCTTGCTGGCAGCCATGGTGGGCCTCAGCTCCCCAACCCTTGGGACAGAAACTGAAAATGTCTGTTTTCTGAGGTTGTGGACCTATGCAGGAAAGAGTGCAGTGCTTCCTGGATGCTGAAGAAGGGATCTAGGATGAGAGAATGCTGAAAGCTGTCCAGCGTCAGGTGCCTGCTCACTCGTGGGTCAGAAGTAAATCCTTAGTGGCACATTTGAGCAGTCAACTGGCAGCCAGTACACTTTCTGCCTTACTTCTCTGTGGCTGACCACCCTGGGAAACCTAGATATAAAATCCGTATGGTCTTAGACCCAGCACATTGTTGAACAAGATTGGAAGTGAGAGATGAGAAGGGTCTTCAGGGCAGTGTTGGGAGTCCTTGGCAGTATTTCCAACAGTCAAATGGAAATTACGTATTTATGGATAAAGCTAATGGTAGTTTAAATGACTGATTTTCCACCTCTAGCTGGAATCGTGTCTCGTTGTAGATTATGGCTATAAGATCCTGCTAACTGGAAGCCCTGATTAGTAGAGTGATATTTAATAACACATGGGAAATAAGTCAACTTTTGTTTGGCTCGATAAGGTAAAGTTTGAATTATGTTCTTATTTGTTAACAAAACTGGAGCAGTGGGGATCATTAGTGATTGGTAAATGGGGAGAGAAGGAAGACTTTGCTGTGTTGGGTAGAGACCCTGGGCTGAGGCTACCCCTCTGGCTGTCAGGGAAGAAAAGGTAAAGGGGTGCAGAAGGAGTTAACAGAACAAGCCTGAGACTGCCATCCTTAGAAAGGCCTGCTTGCAAGATTAACCTGAGCCTGGCGTCTGGGAACTTGACTGGTAAACAGTTTCCTACACTGAAATAAAACTTTCCCTAAGTGATAAGAGTAGCTTGCTGTGCCTAAATTGTGCAAACAGTATGTTTTATGTTAAATACTTCTTTTCCTTTAGGGAGTCTGGAATTTTAGAATGTGCTAGGCATAGGGGTGCTTATGTGACCAGCTGATAATAAAAACCTTGGGCAGTGAGTGTGTAATAAGTTTCCTTGGTAGACAAAACTTTACGTGTTCTTACAACTCAGTTGCTGGAGAAGTTAATTGCATTCTGTGACTTCATTGTGAGAAGACTCTTTTGAAGCTGCTGCTTGTTTCCTCCAGACTTTCCTGGATATCAGAAATGGGGAGTGGTGGGCTTAAGTTGATTTTTTAAAAGGCATTTACCTTCAGATTTTAGAAGAAAAAACTCTGTACTGTCCAAATAAAACATCTCCATGGACTGTATTAGTAGTCAGTTTGAGATTCCTGATCAGTTACAAGGTCTGGCTTCTTACAGCTTTGTAAAGGGCCATTGTGTTGCACCATTCCAAGAGGTGCCATTCACAAATTGAGCCTGGGGCTCACATTCATACAATAGAGTTGATGTTTACCATAAGCATGGGGTTCTTCTTTGGCATTATAATACAGTACTCCTCTAATACTTTTTAGTTGTATTATATTTGTCTTAGAAGTTCAAGTAAATTAAATGTATGCTAAGTTAGAAATGTTGCATGGAGGGTAGCTGGGAAAGAATGAACAAAAAAAGCATACTTGTTTTATTATGACATTGTTCACACTGCCTTTTTTTCAGGACCCTTGCGCCTTTGTTATAACATTAAAATTGCTTTGAAATTTAAGGACAAAGTCACATGAACTATCTATATATGAAAAATTATAACTAACATTAATAGAGTGCTTAATATTTGCTTGTTACTCTGTATGCTGTGTACTTTTCACCTATTATGAGGTACAATACTAGTAGTATCTAGAGACCTGCAGTCACTTTCTTGACTTGGATCTTAAGTTGCAGAACCAGGAGTCTTTCTCAAGCACTCTATTGTCTTCCACACAAAGGTATGTTGGCAAACTAGCTCTCCATTTCCGTGGTATAAATATATATACTTCCACCAGGACCAGTTTCAAGCAATGTAACATCACTGTCATGCAAATTAATAAAAATTCAGTCAGCTCTGACAAGACAGCATGGCCGGACTCCAGCTTACCACTGTTTCACAAAATGGTTTCAACCAGGCTTTTCTAACCCCAGTGCACCCCCTGCACTCAAAGGGTACCAGGTCAAAAGAGCCTCACTTAGCTGGCAAGGATGCCTTTGGTAGAAGCTGATTATAGGGACTTGGAAGATTTTTTTTTTTGCTCTTTGTGATACACCTATGAAACAGTGATTATTAATTACTGTCTTTTGGAAGCTTTAAGACAAGCGTATTTACCTTCTTCCTGTTCAGGCACCCATCCTTATCTTTCAGCTACAGC